ATTAGAAATTGACCCTTGAGCCAACACCCTACCAAACAATAATCATGCTTCCTAGCAATCGTATCCTGAGGTGCATCCACCTGTAAACCTTCATAATGCAAACGATACGATAGTAACAGAGTTTTAAGGAAGAAAAGATAACTAGGGTTCAGTTGGAACCAAAACTAGACAAAAAAACCAAAAAGCAGAGAACATGCCACTCAGAGCATACCATATGAGAGACCTAAATATTCACTATATATTTAACTAACAAAAATTCAAAAAAATTTATACTTATTCAGCCATTTAATTTAATGTTATAAACTCGTATTAAGCTTTGTTTATATAAATCAAAAAGAAAAATCAACTCCATAATATTCAAATAGTTAGATTTTAAGAACTAAGATACATAATTTATTTAAAAAGTACTAAAAGATGACTTATGAAAAAAAATTTGATGGTAATTAATTGGACCAATGAAATTAAAATAAAATATATGTCAATGTGGGAAAGAGACAAGCACCAAATAGGTCATCTTTGGTTAAGAGAAAGATAAATCTATGCATATTAATGTCCAAAATCTATTTGTAGGGATAGAATAGTCAAAACCGAAGTATCTAGGAATAGTAAAAATAGAATAGGATAAAAAGGTGATGGTTTAAATGGCAATTCACTGTAAAAAATGCTAAGGGAATTATTTAGTGAATTTGATCTATTGAGACTTAAACTTATATTGAGTTAGTTCTATATAAATAAAAAAAATTAAACTAATTATCATAAATTTTAAACTAATAATACTAAATTTTAAGGTAACCTATTTATTAAAAATATTATTTAAAAAATTAGATTAATTTAATATAGATTGTGAAAATGGTGGGAAGTTAAGTACGTGGCTATATGAGAGTTAGAAAGACATTAAAGTGATGAAATTTAGAAAAATGCAATCAAAATTGCAATGATAAATGATTAGATATGAATAGGGGCAAAATAGTAAAAATGAAAGCTAAAACACTATTCTAATGAACAGTAACTTCTAATATATGACAACGGCCAAAATGGAGAAAATATGGAAAAGATGTGGTTTAATTGAAAAAATGCTATTTAGTAAATATGACAAAGGGCAAAATGGAAATAGTTTGGGTTTTGTTTTGGTATATATATAACAAGCAGAATTTACGTGCATTGCTGCGAGATATGTATTATATGCAACTATTATATCTTTATACCTTTTTCTTACATTTTATTCTTATAAAAAATTTCACTATATGAGAAATTTATTGCAACTTACTAATTGTATAATTTCACTAATAAGTTTTGGTTGAATAAAGAAACATATGTAGTCTTCTTACAATGAACTTCATTATCAATTTTAAGAAACTTTCATTTCAAAAATATTTTTTTTGTGTGTGAGTATATAAATAGACCCTTCGGTTGTGGAATTGCTTTTCATTTATTATTTATCTCGCTCAAATCAAATATTTAAAAATATAAATAAAGCAAATATGTAATTATAACATAAAACTCAAATCGAAGATAGTATTTAAGTAAAACATTTTGATAGTGACGATTTCATATATTGAATCTATTCTAAATCAGCTTCCATTAAATATAATTCTTACTGATTAATACAATTATTTTTAAATTATATAATAAATTTTTTTACAGAATGTTTTTTTTATAATATGATTAATTAACAAAAATTGATGGTTAAAATTTAGATTTCATATGGTTAAATTTTTTAGTCAATATGTACATGATTCTGCTGAAAGCAACACTCATGATATCCACGTGTCATTATTCCTTGTCTTTGTACTTATTCTTTTTAGTATACAGATGTTGCGTCTTAATATTAACTTGTATGAAGCTTGGTTCTTTTATTTGATAGATTGTTGGCTCTTCAATAAGTTGTATTGAACAAAAGACGCTCTCTCTTTTCCTCTGTCGTGTGCACGTCTTGTCTGCCATGTGCAAGCCTTGGATACCTTGAAACAATGAAACCTTTATCTTCCACTTACAGGCCTTGGATGTTGTCTACCATGTGCACGACTTGATCTTTGTTGCCATGAAACCATAAACATCTTCCATTTTTTTTCCAATTCTTCAAGTTTCCATCCAACCAATGAAACCATACACCTCTTGCCTCTTGCCTAAATTTGTTTCTGTTTCAGTCATGGAAGATAATTTTGCTCACCTTTCTATAGATGAGGAAGAGGAGACTGGACTTTCCCTTCGTACTCCAACTCATAACCCTCCAGTTGATCCGTATAGTTTCTATTTGGTTGGCATGTTTCTCACTTATAGTACAGTCAACTTTTACGCTATGAAAAAAACGCTAGCAGATCTCTGGCATCCTTTAGGCAAAATTGAAGATGTGGCTTTATATATCAGTGATGAGACTAAAAAAAGACAACGAGTTATTCCTACAACTCATAGCACCACTGTCATTTCTAATAAAAGTGATTCTGCATCTAGTAACACTTCGACCATCAATCAGTCGAAGACACATACATCGGTCGATCCTGTGAGGCAGGATAGCTGGAAGTAATAAAGATCCTTTCATGGAACTGTCGAGGACTTGGCAACCCTTGGACAGTATAAGCTCTATGTGACTTTGTTGCCATTTACCGCCCTGTTATTTTGTTCCTTTGTGAAACTTTAGTTCATAAAATGAAGCTTGTTGAAATTTGCTCTTTGTTGCGTTTTGATTCTTGCTTTTCTGTGGATTGTATTGGGAGAAGTGGTGGTCTTGGTTTGCTTTGGAAGAGTGAAGTTGATGTTTCCATTTCTTGTGGTACTTCATGGTGCCTAACTGGTTTTTATGGGTTTCCAGAAAGATGTAGAAGGAAGGACTCCTGGGACTTGATTAAAAATTTATCCCATAGACATACTGGTCCTTGGTTTTGTGTTGGGGATTTTAATAATCTGTTGGCTGATTCGGAGAAGATTGGTGGAAACCAATATCCTAGATACTTGTTGAATGGTTTTCAGGAGGCAATGGTGGAGAGTGATTTATGTGATATTACTGCTAAACGATATAAATTTACTTGGTTCCTAAAAAGATTTGGCCGAATTATCACTCGTGAGAGACTTGACCGTGCTAGGGCTAATAATCGCTGGTCCTGTTTATTCCAGGAAGCTTCTACGACTACGTTGGTTTCACCAACATCAGACCATGACCCATTGTTAGTTTCAACGGTTGAGTGTGAGGTACCTCGTAGGAAGGAGAGGAAGTTCCATTTTGATAATGCATGGCTTCATGATGAAGATCTGGTTGGAGTAGTTCGAGATAATTGGTCCTCCTCCATGGGGTCTGATATAATGCTCCATCAAAAATCTTGTATAGACGCACTGCAAAGTTAGGGTGTGGACAGGAATTCGAGATTTTGGAAGAAAAAGAACAGCTTGAAGCGTGCTATCGATTTTGCTCGAGAGGTTGATCCTTTTGTCGAAAACTCAGCTTTAATTAGAGAGTGGGGCAATATTCTAGCGTAGGAGGATGCTAGAAGAAGACTGATCAGTAAACAATTTTGGCTACAGCATGGTGATAGAAACAGCAAATATTTTCATGCTAAAATCAAAGCAAGAACACGCAAGAATTCTATTAATAAACTACAAAACGCTGCGTGGCAGTGGGTTGAAAAGGAGTGTGAGAAGCAGCAGTTGTTTGTTGACTATTTCACTCATCTCTTTACACATAATGCCATGAATTTTTAGCCCATTATGAGATTGGTACGCAGTACAATAAGTGATGAAGATAATTGCATGTTTACAGCTCCCATCTCACTCGAAGAAGCAAAAGCAGCAGTCTTTCAAATGGGTCCTGATAAAGCGCCCAGCCCGGATGGTTTGAACCCCGCTTTCTATCAAAAATTTTGGCCTTTAATTGGTGGGGATTTGGTAACTGCCTGTAACCATTGGCTACAACAAGGTATTTTCCCAGACTCTCTACATGATACCTTAATTGTTTTGATCCCTAAGAAAGATAGACCAGAATTTTTCACTGATTTTAGACCTATTTCTTTATGTAATGTGCTCTACAAGATTGTGTCCAAAATCTTAGCGAACCGATTAAAATTTGTGTTACCAAATATTATCTCTTGCTATCAGTCTGCTTTTATATCTGGGAGGCTTATCACTGATAATATTTTAATCTCCTTTGAAATGATGCATAATCTTAAGAAGCCAAGTAAAAGTAGATGTGGAAATTGTGCACTGAAAATTAATATCAGTAAAGCCTATGACAGAGTTTGTTGGGCGTAGGGTTCTGTGCTATGTGGGTAAATTGGATGAAGATGTGTATGACTTCCGTTAAATATTCAATTATTGTTAATGGGAATACTGTTGGCTCTATTGTTCCCAGAAGAGGTTTACGGCAAGGGAATCCTATATCGCCCTACCTCTTTTTGGTATGTGCAGAAGGTTTGTCACTGCTCTTCTTAGAAGCGGAAAGGTGTGGTAAGGTTCATGGTGGTAAAGCTGGTCGAGGGTGTCCCAAAATCTCCCATTTATTTTTTGCAGATGACTCACTTTTCTTCTTCAAAGCATCCATTGCTGAAGCCACTAATGTTAAAGGGATCTTAGCTACATATGAGAGTGCTTCTGGTCAATCGATTAATTTTCAGAAGTCTGGCATTACGTTCAGTCCGAACGAATACTAGCATGACTGTGAAAGCCGATATCAGCCATATTTTGTGCATGTTCAACCCCTTTGAGGGTGGGTCTTACCTGGGGTTACCTTCTCTGATTGGCAGGAATAAAAGACAAGTTCTTGGTTTCCTAAAAGAAAGAATGTGGAAGCATATAAATAGATGATCGAATAGATTTCTTTTCAAAGCAGGGAGAGAGATACGTATTAAGTCGGTGATTCAAGCATTGTCGGCTTATTGCATGAGTGTCTTTGAATTGCCCCTGAGTCTATGTGATGAGTTGGAAAAAATGATGAATAGTTTTTGGTGGGGTTCGAAGGGTAGTGAGAAGAAGCTCCATTGGTTAGCTTGGAACATTGGTTAGCTTGGAATCGAATGTGTGGGAGTAAAAAAGATGGGGGAATGGGTTTTAGGGATCTTCATTGTTTCAATATGGCTATGTTAGCAAAACAGGGGTGGCGTCTTTTGACCTCGCCTAATACTCTCTTTTATAGAGTCTTGAAATCTAAATATTTCCGTGACGGGAGATTGCTTGATGCACAAATGGGTCAAAACCCTAGTTTTGTCTGGAGGGGTATAATGTCTTCTAACATGGTCTTGAAACATGGAGTTAGGGGGAGGGTTGGCAATGGTAGGCGTATTTATGTTGTGAAGGACCCTTGGTTACCCATTGATGGAGTCTTTTATGTGGAGGATGATAGTCTCTTTATTGATAATAATCTCCTGGTGAAAGATCTTTGAAAGATTTTTGTTGGGGGGGGGGGGGGAGAGGCATGAAGTACGGATTATTAATCTTCTTGTACTGATGTTTGTAGGGATATCCACACTATTCTTGATATTCCTTATGTTAAGAAGGGTTTTGGAAGGAGAGGCTGATTTGCATTATGAATATATCCACACTATTCTTGATATTCCCCTTAGTGTAAGAGATTTGGAGGATGAGCTGATTTGGCATTATGATAAGAAGGGTAATTTTAGTGTTAAATCTTATTACTATCTTGCCTTGAGGGTGTTGGGAAGGGGTGAGGAAAGCATAGAAGGTGAGGGGTGGGGGAGTATTTGGACGTTGTGTAACTTATTGCCTACGTGACGGAGATTGAGCAGGCGAGGTGTGAATGTGGACACTATATGCCCATATTGTGATTTGGAGGAGGATGTTAATCATGCATTATTATTATGCACAAAGGTGTTGGAGGTTTGGAAGGTGTGTAGGGTGGAGGAAACTTTTACTAACCTTTCTTTTAAAACTCTTTATTTGCAAGTCTTGAAGCAAAACAATAACGAAAAGTTAGCTTTTATCTCTTATGTCGCATGGAGTGTGTGGGATGCTAGGAACAAATTTCTTTGGCAACAAATGGATTGGACTCCTTTGAATGTTAGTGCTACTGCTTCTATTCTTTTTTCGAGTATTTCGTTGGTTTCAAAGACTTCAAAGAATGTAAAGATAGTTGAGAATACTGAGACTATGCCCAGGTAACAAATTGTCGATCAAGATAAACTACATACTATTAGAGGATCTGAGCGTGAGAGGAGAACTTGCTCCATGTGGGATAGCCTGCTATTTTTTCTAAATATATCATACATTTGGAGGGTCGGTGGTGCAAGAGTAGGAGGCTGGTGGTTTGGGAGGCTAGATGTGAAGTTGATGACCCGATGGCAGTTGGATATAGTTAACTGTTATTGGACGTCTTATGCCAGCTTGACGAGAAATCAGCTATCTCCAGAACTTAGTGGCAGTAAAATAGGATTATGCAGTCTGCTGCCGCTCACTATTAAGCAGTTTCATAAACTGCAATATTCCGGAGTGCGGGTACTATCCTCATAGATTCTCAGAAGTATTATTTAATGCTCTTTCATCAAAAGACTAGAGATATGAGTGAGATTTGGGATTATTGTTATATCACGGGTGTTGCAGTTGAGGGAACCTAGTAGTACTTTCTGGGAGTGGGTATAATTTTGTCTTGTTATTTAGCGGGTCCATTCCAACTAAGTCCAGGTTTCGAGTGAGAATTTTAAGAGAAGCGAGGGTAAGAAGGGGATGGGCTGCCATTGGTTATGTGGAATACGGGTCGAGTACCTACATAAAGAACTGAATAGCATGTATTTCTGAGAGCAGCCTCCCTTTAAAAATTTTATTCCAACGTGGTTCATACCGGCAGGTGGGAATCAGATACTGCCAAGGACCGTGGGTGTCTTTGGATGATATTTTCCTTGAGGATAAATATATGATAAATATACCTTGAGACTCTTTATGTCAAAAAAAAAAAAGATAAGTATCTGAGATCGATTAGTAGTGGAAAAGGGGATGGAGGCGAAAAAGCAACATCATAGGAGATTCATATATATCTTAATATTAAAATACTACTATAGCCTACGATGGAAAAGGATTAGGCAAAAACAGAGTCAAATATCACTGGGTACTTTACAAGGGATGAACATTGACTTTTGGTTTTCATCAATTAGGTATATTTGGATAGAGGTGAAATCTACTCTACATGTGAACAAGAAGTATAATCATTGGCAATATGGCAAAATGTCGTTTAGGCGAAGGAGTGCGGGTACTATCCTCATAGATTCTCAAAGTATTTTTAATGCTCTTTCATCAAAGACTAGAGATATGAGTGAGTTGGGTATTGTTATTTCTGATTGTATTTTTTTTATTAGCCTCCATTCCACTAGTCAAAGTTCGATGGATTAGAAGACACGATAAAATAGGTGCTCATTGTCTAGCTAGAGCGTCCTATCATTTTAATCATGTTCATGTTTAGGACTCAGTGCCAGACTGTTTGATGGATTATTTTTCCTTGAGATAATATATGATAATTCTTCTCTTTCAAAAAAAAAATATTAACTTGTATGAAAAGGGATGAGGGCAGAAAAAGCAAATCATTGTTCATATATATCTTAATATTATACTTACTATACCTACATGAAAAAGGATAAGGGCAAAAAAGGCAAATCACTGTTCTATGAACATTGATTTTGGTTTTCATTTTAGTATATATATGTAAGTGATATATCTACATGTGAAAAGAATATATATTGGCAATTGGCAATTTTTTATCTTAAAAGTAAGATGCAGATTTTAGCATATCCGCCGGATATTTGACCCATCTTGATCCAAAAAAATCGAATAAAATTTTGTACAATTAAATATGGATTGAATATTGATATTCATCGATCCAATCCAATTATTTTTTTTCTTTTTTTAAGTAAACTCTTTTTAGTTACTATATTTATTTTTTAACCTCAACCAATATGATCCAACCCTGTTATGAATCTGAATTCGATTTAATTAATTAGGGAACATGTATCCGATGGATGTTAAATTTTCTTGGCATATTAGAATTAAATATTACAAATTCAATTTGAACATAATCCTTAGAAACATCATAAGTAAATTAAGTCTCTAAGCTAGAGTTCTTCTTCTGAGGAGCTATCTTTATTGGAACTCTCAAATTTGGATGCACAAAGGAATTTAAGTCACTAAGTTAGCCATGATTCTTTCATGGTGTGGCTCTTGATAATAAGTCTATGTTGACCTTCTCTTCCTCTGCGATTCTTCTTTCAACTCCTCATATTCTGCTACCTTTGTCGTCAACTTATAGAAATCTATGAACTCTATCCCTTGGAATTTCTTCCTAAGCTTGAAGTCCAAGCCCTTCTGAGCCATCTTGACAAATTCATGTTCAGGTAAGAACATCTTACATATGTTCCTTATCTTCTTAAACCTTGCTATGAATGAATTAACTGTCTCTTCACTTCTTTATGTCAATCTAGACAATCGAGCTACACAAATCACTGGCTTAGCTCTAAAGAACTGTATATGGAAAAGACACTCAATTTCATACTATGAGTCTCGGGGACGTCATTGGATACCAGGTGAAAGTTGTACGTATCATGAAGTTAGAAAACAATCGAAGATTAAAGTTAGAAAAATTCTTCAAATTGGCGAGTTTGGTGCATTGGATGATGGATCAGGCAATATGCTCCAATGTCAATTGTCCATCTTTTCCAAAGAACAAGGTGAATTCTGAAATTTGTACCCTCTAGGATAAGAGTTCTCTCTGTCAATGGTTTTTGAATAGGGATTCACAGATTTTTGGCGGCCAACCTGTCTAAGGCCAGGCCTATATAGCTCCTGCAATTGTCTATCAAAACTAGCACTGTCAAAATGGAAAGCCCAGATCAGCCTGCACGAGATCGGTGCCAAAACGTGTCGAACCAAAAGAGCTTGTTAAAAAATAGGCTTCAATCTTCAGGCCCGAACATGTCCATTTAAAAAAAAAAAAAAATTCAAATTTGTAAAACAAAGGTGAAGTTGACATAGATCCAGTTATGAAGTTACAATTTAAGACACCTTCACTTCTACCAATCGAAAATCTTGTAGCTCAAAAGTCACAAGGCTTTGATTAATCATGTGCTCCCTTCTGACGCCAAGAAATTTGTACATTCTATTAGGACCTCTTTTGACCATTATAATAGACCTGTTAGTAAAGCTGGGCGAGCTCCAGCAGCTAGCCAGAATATGTTAGCTATTCTTGCTTGGATGTTCTCTTGGGTGGCTAACGGACATTGTGCTTATGCCAGTGTTTAGAATTGATTCTTTTGGTAATGTGACCAAATCTTATATGGATAATGTGATCACCTTTGTTCTTGGAAGCTTTATCTTGGTTCTTGTTGTTCAGCATTATAACATTTACAAGAGATTGGTCTTAAACATGAGTCCCAGTTTTTTGTAATATATCTATATACATATATAAGTCCATAAAGATGAATTTGCCAAATTGTTTTTACAGAAACAATAGAAAGATAGCCTATTCCATTCTTGATTAGGAGTTACCTATAAATCCATATATGTATAGATCCATATCCATCTAAAGCGGACAGTCCGTGGACTTGTCTGGCATGGCCTGCATAGGCTTTAATCAAAACGAGCCAAATAAATGGTCTTCAATTTTTTTGTTTAGACCCAAACCGTACGCGGGCTTAGAGTGTTGAAAGCATCTATTATGATTTGGGAAATCTGAGGAACAAGGTTACCTATTACTTGAGGAACTATAATAACATCAATATATGTATTTTGGGAGTTTTGTGGTAAAACAAACTCCTATAGCTCCTTAACTTCATGCAAATGTCAACAACCGAGGAGCATTAAAGCCTCAGCCTTACAAACACATGGGGGAGTCATGTGACTAGTGGAACCAAAAATAATACTAAGAGTTATTATAGGCCTGCTAGTGGGACGACCTATTGGAATGGTGCTTTTGATGGGTGGTGCACTAGGTCCTCTCTTCAGTGTGGTGGTTGATACCTCCATTCACCAAGAGCATGACCATTGTTAGTGCCCTCCGTGGGATTTTGAGGTAATTGCTTGTTGAGTTCTTCGATACACTTGGATGAAGATTCAATCTCCTCCTTAGTAAAAGACTTGCTAATAGGAGATTGAATGATGGGTGAGTCCAGAATATCACTAATTTTATTTCTAGTGACTTTCTCCATGAAGCTATTCATGGTTAACAACACTTTGATCATTAGTAACAATATCACCAGAAACATAAATCATTTTACTTAGACATTTATTGAGGTCGTCAGTTAAGGTAAGTGCAATTTGTGTGAGATTTTGGACATAGTTGATTTCTCCTTCCTCATGAGGAGTATAGTCTCTTTCAGGATTTTCAAGACTTACTTTCATAGGTTCTCCATCTGAATCTAAAGACTCGATAGCAATTTCTTTTTTAACTACATTATGAGTTTTGCGAGTCATGATGAATTTTTCTCGAAACTCAAATAAAAGATGGTTGAGATGCAAAGTAGCATCCCACAGGGCGTGCCGCTAAAGATTGTTGGTTGCAAAGGAAAACAAGCAATGAAGACAATTGGCTAACTGATTAAATGGAATCGCAGGCGTGCCATGTCTGTGTAGTACAAGAACTATAATATTGAATGCACTAAATCTGACTTTTGGATTGTGGGTTGAATCAACAAATATATGCTTCACCAATGGTCCAATTAAAATAAAATTGAGCAAAGTAAATTGTAAAGAGAGCTTTGATTGGGTGAAAAATAAATGGAGTTTTGATTACTTAAAATGTAAAAAGTATGTGATTGCTTGTATTGAAATAAAACTGTAATTACAAGAGATGCAAATGAACAGTGTTTAGGAAAAATAAAGATAAGGCTTTGAAAATTAAATTGATTAACTCGTTAGAGAGTTTGATTTATTTAATTGAATTCATCGGAGAATTTAGCTAGAAAAATAAATAAATTATTTAACTTATTTAAGAGTTTATTTGATTTATTTAATTCGTCGGAGAATTTGACTGGAGCTTCTGCGTTGTTTCCTTTCCTTTTATAAGTTCCACATAGTTATTAAAAGATCCATTGAAACACGTTTCTATCACTAGCTCCTTTATTCTACCACTTTCTCTATGTGAATAGCCACTTAAGAAGTTCCCATGTTTTGTTCAACTTCAACTCATGTCTTCTTTATCTCTTTTTCTTTTTAATTGATTAATTATATAAAATAATATTAATTATCTCTTATTCTTTTTAATTAATTAATTATATAAAATAATATTAATTGGGTTACAAGTAATTATATATCCAATAAGCCCAAATAAAGTTCAAGTTCAAAATCACACAATGTCTCAATTTATTTCCGTGAAATAACTTGCAAAAATAATAAAAAATATAATCGTGATTTTTGTTTGTCATGAGAACGCTAATTAGTAGATAAACATGCATTGACAAATATGGATTTGAGAATGGTGGAACTTATAGAGATAAATAAAAAATAAAATAAAAGGAGAATTAATTATTTTGATTTATTTTATAATTAATATAAAAAATAACTTCCTATATCATTAAAATTTATAAATTAAGTAATTCATTTTAAATATGAGAACTCCACTATATTTAATACAATTTAATTCTAAAAATAAATATAAAAAACCAAACAATTATAAATATTACATGTGTGATTTCTTTAAAATCCTACATGACAGTACTAGAAAAAAAAATCATGACAGGACTAGATAAATAACTGTTGCCTTCTCCTTTCCAAAGCAAAAATTGTTACCATCTAATTTAATTCAATAGCTAATTTGGATATAATAATGGATATAATTTTTTTTTCCTTTTATTTTTTGAACAGAAATATATAATATATTTCTAGCCGTTGAAAATAAGTATGACTACAAAATCTCTTTTATCCAAAAATCCCTTGGCTGTCTAAAACTGAATTACTATCACCTTCAACGACCTCTCTGTTTCTCAGGTATGGCTGCTTTATGTGCAACTCCATGTCTCTCTCCATTCCCAGTCTTTAAGAAGACAACATCATCATTCCGTATCCATTAAAGCTGTACAATCAGCAGAGCCAGAGAAAGACAAAGCCATCAAAACCATAACAAAAGAATCTTTGAAAATGAATTATTGATTTTCTTTCCTTTTGTTTTTTCTTTTTGTTTAATTCATCAATATTATTGGGCAGTGAAGAAAGGCCAGATTGTGAGAGTAGAGAAAGACAAGTACCTCAACAGTGTAAATGTAAAGCAGTATATATCTAATTTGCTCTTTATAGTTTATAGTATATAATTTGTTTCATTTATCAGTATTTATCAGTTGGGCATCCACCTTATTACAAGGGCTTGAACTAAATATATGCAGACCGTGGTGAGGTAGCTTTCCTAGTTTTGTTTCCTGTTCTGTAGTAAAATAATTAGCATTTCTTGACAATATTTTCATTGTTTCCTGTTCTGTAGTAAATAAAAGCCTTATCCTTAGTTATATTGTCAAAAACATTTTTCCAAGTAATTACTTTTAATTGGTTGCAGTCAGAGAAACTGAATTACCAGAGATTATAAGCTTCTTGCCGCTGTATAACAATTGTTCCATCCTCAAATCTCACTTCAAGTTTACATCCTGAGAACGTTTAGAGCAGCTTAGCAGCTTTTGCACAAGCGGATCATCAGGCTTGTTCATAACTAAATTTATTACCAACTCTGTCGTGGTGGCATCTGCAGAAAAACCCTTGCCAACCATTTCATCAATAAGTTGTGTTGCCATGGACGAATCGTTGTGCCGGAGATATCCTTGGATACCTTGGATAAATTCACATTATACAGAGCAAATATTGTAGCAATCATTCTCTTCATTTTCCTGAAAACCTTGAAATGCTTCATCTAGGAGGCCTTCTTACAAAGTCATTGATCAATTATAGTGTATGTATACACATTAGGCTGCAACCCTTTATGGAAAGTCTAGAAACAGTTCTTTCATTTTTTTCACTTTCCAGCTTTGAACATACCATCAATTAGAGTACATCAATTAGAGTACTATATACAGTTATATTAGGCTTCAATAAGTTGTTCTGCATTTCATGAAATAGGCTCAATGCCACAGCTGGACACCTATGCTTACAAAAGCCATCTATCAAAATTGAGTAAGTTACCACACCTGGAGAATGGCCACTAGCACACAAGTCCTTGAAAAACTTATATGCAGCTTGAGGGCTCTTTGCTTTACACAATCCATGTATAAGAGAACTATAAGTGACATGGTTAGGAATCAATCCTTTGCGAGGCATTTCATCAAGAAGCCTCATTGCCTCGTCTATCCTTTTTCTCCTACAGTAACAGTCAATCAAGATATTGTAGATAACAACATCAGGTGTACAACCCTTGCTTAGCATCATGTCAAAAATTTCTCTAGCTTGATCCATTTTGTTGAGTAGACAATATCCATTCATCAAAGAGCTGTAAGTCGCAACATCAGGCTTTATTCCTCTGCAACAAGGCTCAGGCTTTATTCCTCTTATATGAATACATTGCGCAGTTTGATAATACCATTGAGCTGTGGCACTGCAACCCTTCCTTCCTTACAAAGCCCATCAACCAATATACTGAAGGTAATTAAGTTTGGAGTGATGTTTGCTTCCAACATTTCATTGAGCTGCACAGAAGCTTCTTCCCATCGGCCTGAATTGCACAGACCATAGATTAAAGAGCTGTAAGTTACAACATCAGGCTTTATTCCTCTTTGAATCATCAATTTGACAATACCATGAGCCTTTGAAACCCTTCCACACTTACAAAGCCCATCGACCAATATACTGAAGGTAATTAAGTTTGGAGTGATGTTTGCTTCCAACATTTCATTGAGCTGCATAGAAGCTTCTTCCCATCGGCCTGAATTGCACAGATTAAGAGTTTAAGTCACAATGGCTTCGGAGAGATGCTCACTCTTCATTCAAGAAAGAGGCTTCTAATGCCTCAAGTAACCAATCTAATCCTTTAACAAAGGCTGTCAATGATAGCATTATATGACACCACATCAGGCTCACAATCTTCCTCGACCATTCTTTTCAGAATACCAAAGGCCACATTGGTTTTCGCAATTTTACACAGACCATTCACAATCACGTTATAGGTATAGACATCAGGTTGATAGCCTTTTGCAACCATCTCATCAAATAATTCCACAGCTTCATCAAATGCATCCTCACTACAAAGCCCGTTAATCAAGGTATTAAGCGTTATAATGGTAGGCTGAAAACCAAGTTTGAAGATTTTCCCCAAAAGAGAGAACCCAAAATCCACGCGGTCCAGATGGCAAAAGCAATTAGTCAAACAAAATATTTAAGAAGAATATCGAGTGAAAATTCCAAAAACAACCCATCTGTTTGTAAAGAGAAAATTACAGTCCATAACGCTTCATCGAACAAGTGGAGATAGTAAGTTATTAAATTCCACCAATAATTCCACAATAGATGGTGAGGGATTACTGTGAAGCATCAAATGGAAAGAAGCCAAAGGATCAGATTTGCTTTTACCTGTCGCGTGTGTACTGTTAGAAGTACTATAAGAAACGGAATCAAAAATACCCATTAGCCGATGAAGCCGAAAATTAGTAAGGCATCTGGTGGTTGTTGAGATCATCTTGGATAATATACGAAATTAAAGCGAAAGACCCAATCTTGGATAGAGTTTTTGGAAGAAATTTGATAACGGCGAGAAGAGGAGAGAGATGTCCAGAGGAAGAAAGAAGATAAAGGCCTATGATACATGGCAGAAAATAACTTGTACCATACCAATAAAACGCACCGCACCAATGCCTTTCCCCTCTGTCGGAGCTCCAGGTTCAAATTACTTTGCTAAATTACACGAAAGTCTAAATTATTTAATAATATAAAATTAAATCCTATGAAAATATGAAAATGATTTAAAGACGTGAAAATTTTAATTATTTGTACGAAAAAGTGAATTATTTACCTACCGACAAATTGTATAAAAAAATCAATTTAAATTGAAGAAAACATGATTTTTTTTCCTTTTTTTTTAGAATTTTGATGTTTTTTAATTGATTTTTTTACGTTTTCCGTCAAAAGTGACATAAGATGAAAACAATTCATAAACCGGAAAAATTTTAATAATTTGAAATTTTTTAAAATATGTAATAATTGAATGATTTTGAAACTTTGATTTTAAAATACTGTTCATGAATGCAAGATTTTTTTTCTTTTCTTTTTTTTTTAAATTTAATAATCACATAATTAAATATTTGTTTGTGTTCCATATATTTTGCCATTTGAAAGAACTAAACTCAATGTAGCTATTACAGATGATAAGAAAGTGCAATTGAATGGAAATAATTTTAGATTTATTTTTCTAAGTAATATCAAATAAAAGGTTTTCTTTACCTTTTTTTATTATTTTTTAATAGGGAAAATAATTATTTTGTCCCTGAGGTTTGTCATAATTATTTAAATAGTCCCCGACATTTATACAAATATTTAAAACATATTTGAGGTTTACTTCCGTCTTATTAATTGGTCATTTCGTCCAAAAAATACACTTTTTCCGTTAATTTTGAGAGAAAAAGACGAAATTATCCTTTGTAAGTTTTCATTATTTCGTCAAATTATCCTTTGTAAGTTTTCATTATTTCGTCCCTGAGATTTGCCATAATTATTTAAATAGTCCCTGACATTTATATAAATATTTATAATATCCCTAAGGTTCAATGCCGTCATATTATATGATCCTTCCATCTAAAAAACACACTTTTTACTGTTAATTTTTAATAGACTGACCAAACTACCCTAAATCCTCTAATTAACATATTTTTCCTTTCAACTCATTTGCTTTCCTTCTCACTCACTTACAAAAATGGTATAAATAAATTCCATAGAGCTCAAAGCATAATGAACAACATCTACTTGCGCATCAAATATGTTCATGTACTTAATCTTTGTATTTGCATCCAATGCATTACTTTGCTCAATAACCTCAGCAATTAATCCCAGAAATAGCAACCATATGCAAAATCTGCCAAAAAGAATACCAATATAGCAAAGTATGCAAAATCTGCTCAAACGATACCACATTATCAGCAAGTAAAATTTACAACAGCATGATTAAGTGACGTTAATCTAATGTTCACATTGAAATCCCGATACCCAACATTAATAAAATTGCCCATGCGGTAAATTTTAAATCATAAATTGGTAAATTAAATTTAAAGTAATCAACCTTGATTTAATTCACAAATCCAAAATTGAATATAGTCAGATTAGAATTTAGCAATTGGTTACCCCCAATAATTAGAATTAAAATTTTTAAAATTTATTGGGTAAATTGTGAGGATTGATAGGAATGTTGAAAGGGAAGGAACGTTAACTTTAGAGGATTAGAGGATTTAGGGTAGTTTGGTCATTCTATTAAAAATTAACAGTAAAAAGTGTGTTTTTTAGACGGAATGATCAAATAATATGACGGAAGTGAACCTTAGGAATGTTATAAATATTTATATAAATATCAAGGACTACTTAAATAATTATGGCAAACCTCAGGGATGAAATAATGGAAACTTTCAAAGGATAATTTTATCTTTTTCTCTCAAAATTAATGGAAAATGTGTGTTTTTTGGACGGAAGGACCAATTAATAAGACGGAAGTAAACCTCAGGGATGTTATAAATATTTGTATAAATGTCGGAAACTACTTAAATAATTATGTATAAATGTCGGAAACTACTTAAATAATTATGACAAACCTCAGGGACGAAATAATTTTTTTCCCCTTTTTTAATATATAAGAAGTACGTTATTCCATGTAACCTATCTTCAAAAACAACAAAATTTTTAGGATTAAAATTTATTGGCTTATGGATTAGAATTGTAATACCCTGAATTTTTATTTTCAAAACTTTTGAATTTTTAATAAATCAAAAATCTGAATTTGTGACGGTATGGCCTTAAGTACCGAGTAATTTTAATCTGGGCCTAAATTGTGAGTTGGGCTCAAGCCCAAAACAAGTTATCGAAACTTTTAGTCGAAAATAATTTAACCCTCTTGGAATTGATATTGGACCACTTCCCTCTTGGAATTGATATTGGAACCCATTAAATAATAATGACAAAAATTAATTTATATTACTATAGTAATCTACATTTGATTAAATCAAATTAAATAAATCAAATCTCAGAAAGAATAACTTAAAATAATAATAAAAATTATATTTATTACTTAGTAATCCTACATTTGATTAAATCAATTAAATAAATCAAATTAGAAAGAATAAAATGGGGTTATACAATAAATATTTAATTATTAATATCAGGAACTGTAAATCAGTTTCAATTTTTTGAAAACCAAGAGAAAAACCAATAAACCAAATAAAAATCGAGTCGAATTGTTAATTTGGACCAAACCGGTTCGAATCGAACCGAAATGGGCTAGAACTCTCTCGAACCCTCTTTTCTTTCTTTTTCTTTCCTTCTCTTCTTCTTCTTCTTCGCGTGACCCTCTCTACCTCTCCTTGGATCTCCGGCCACCAAATCCGGCAAATGGATACTCTAAAAACATCTACTCAATGCAAGGAAGAAGACTATGACTTTGATTTGAACTGAAACTGCGTCTATTTTGAAGGGGAAGAGCTTGAAGTTCGACCACCGTAGCGACACCTTTCTCCGGCGATTCACAAAGTTTCAGGCAAGCCTAAGGCGCAAGGTGAGTACCAGATGACTCCTCTCTTCTTCCTCTTTCATTTGGTGGCCTCCTCGTTGACTGTAATAGCCGGAATGGGAAAACCCAAAATGTGTATCGATGAACCTTTTCGGTCAAATTTTCGGCCAAATAGTTCATACCCACCTTGATTTGAATACATATTAGTGATACTCTCATCGAGACGAATAAAATGATATATTGTTTGTTAATTTTGGTGAAGATTTGACTTTTCCGGCCACCGTGCACGGCGGCGACGGTAGCGGTCCGGCAACCGGCCGGCGACACTCCGGCGATACTTCAAGAGGCAGAATGCTCTCCTCTTCGTGTGGATCACGGAAATAAAATATGATTTTCAATCGGTACACTCTAAAGCTTAATTTGCAATTTTTGAATAAATCTCAAATTAAGTATTTAAATAAATTAAATTAGATATTGTTAAATTTATTTCATGAATAATAATTGTAACTATAAGGTTGGTACTGAAATATAAATTCCTAGCTAATAATAAATTTAGGAATTTTATTAACAAATAAATAGTTATAGAACAATTAATTATAATGGATATTAGTTATAGAACAATCTAATTATAATGAGACTCATGTGAATTCGCGAATGAACGGATGAATGAGGTTATGGCCGAACGGATTTAGTTAATTGTGAATTGCCGGATGCATGGCCTGTGTGGTCTGACAATATCGGTTATGTATAAAATATGGATAGTCTAGTTTTTATTTAGAGGAAATGCTGGGCCGAATTTTTATACCAAAACACTTAAATGAAAATTAAAATTAGTTTATACTTCTTAATAAGTGAGTAACGGACTTAAAACTAGGTAATTAATTATTATTTCATCATTAGGAATAATCATTATTACATTATTAAAATAACTAGAAAAATTTTTATCTAAAAGTTATAAATTAAGAACATAAAATAAATAAAAATACGGGAAACTTTATAGAATATAGAAATAATAACAGTTTAGTTTGATATGTGAGTAAAAAGGGCGAATTAGTAGACCCGCAAAACTAATAATTAAGGTAAGAGATGTTCTTGAAATAGAGACCACCTAATCGGGTAGAATTTTCTTATATTATGCTTAGAAGATGTTTATTATAGCTCTCCGAAAAGGTGAGACAAAATTTGGACCACTGCCAGTAATAAGAGGAGTAGTCCTTTAAAGGATAAGGAGCATCTGTGGATGTAGTGTAGAATAATTCAGACATCTGCCATGCGAGCTATGTTATCATAGCATTTGATGGCATGTTGATACTAACTATTTGTTGCTTGCATTATTAAATATTGCTTGATTACTTGTGAAATTGTGATATTGCTGTGTCCCTTGTTTGTGTGAAATTGGGATGAAAGGTGGGATGGGATGAAGTGGGTCACTATGGGTTTGTGAGACTGATTCTGTTATATGGATCCTGATTCTGATTTTGATATATGGATCCTGATTCTGATTTCTGTTAGCCGGGTAAATGGGAGATCGGCGCCCCCATGTGCACTTGATAATTCTGTCTATTCTGAAACCACAGGTTAGCTTCTTTATTTGGCCGCACCTGATAGTTTAGATCTGATCGCAGCTCGCAGGGCGGCCTTCTGTTTGAGCGCCTGAAGATCTAGATTGGATGGAGACGATCGAGTTGCCTCCTGTTGGTATTTAAAAAAAAAAAGAAAAGAAAATAGAGGGATTGGAAAAATAATGAGAGGACCGATCGTGTGAGGATTATACCGGCCAGCCAGAATGGGGGATTGGCTCCCTAGTGCACATGTGAGTGGATGGGCCATGTGTGGGGGATTGGCTCCCTAGTGCACATGTGAGTGGAATGGGCTCGTGTGATGAGAGAATGGCTAACTATTCCGGGGTTAGGTGACGACTGCCAAGCTGACTTAATATTTCCAATGTGAATATGGATTAGGGTATGTAAGGTGGATAATAAGCTGTGAATTGCTGTTTGTATTGCCATTTGGGTGACAAAGGTGCACTGAGTCATATAATTAAACGGGTGACCACCAAATTAAAATATTTTTAAAGGCATTTTGTTATGATTGTGTGCGGGTTGAGAAGGATTATCTAACCCTACTCACTGAGTCTAGTCCACCTGCCCCCTGCTCCAACCTCCCGAGGTAATAGATGGAAAGAGAAGAATCCTGGAGTCAATGCAGAGAATGAGATAACGGATCGGTAGGAAGGAGCAAATAAAATACATTGTATTGAATATGTAAATGCATATAGGATGTGGAGACTATGGAGTAAGAGTTTCCGGGCAGTTGTAATACAATCTGGGAATTGTGACATGAATAAATATAGTATAAGACATTTTATTATTTAGGATTATACAAACTTTGGATATATATGTGAAATTAAAATTATTGGCCTTCGGAATCCCACAAATTGTGAATAGAATGCCGAGTTTTAAATAATACAGGCTTACTAACGCGCGCTCTCTGGGGGGCTTAAGGCCCACCCAGTTCGATAGGTGGCGGTCCGAGTCCATGGAAATGGGTCGTGACCAAAATATAACAAGTGTTCTGAGAATGCGGACCAGTTTAAGTGAACCAGAATGAAGGTAGGGGAATCTGTTGAACCAGAGGTTCAAACTGAGTTTAATACAGTTTCAAGCTTACTTTTTTATATGAAATATTTTTAAATAAATTTATTAAGTAAAATTGAAAGTATACGAAAAAAAGCGGGTTTGATATCAAATAAAAAAAATTCCTCAATTTATGACTTCTCTAAAAAAGAATTTATTTAAATAATACAGGCTTACTACGGGCTTTGGGGGCCTTAAGCCCACCCAGTCATAGTGCCGGTCCGGTCCATGGAAATGGGTCGTGACAAAAATATACAGTGTTCTGAGAATCGGACCAGTTTAGTGAACCAGTGAAGGTAGGGGATCTGTTGAACCAGAGGTTCAACTGAGTTTAATACAGTTCAACTTACTTTTTTATATGAAATATTTTTAAATAAATTTATTAAGTAAAATTGAAAGTATAGAAAAAAAGCTTTGATATCAAATAAAAAAATTCTCAAATTTGACTTCTATAAAAAGAATTAAAAATTAGTAAATAATTTTAAACAAAAAGAATAAAATATGACTAAATTTAATACTAAAAAAATCAATTAACTACAATAAATATAATATTAATTTTAACATTTGGCTTTAAAGTTGGACAATTTAATTGTTTTAATTAATATAATAGAATTTTGGATTTAGAAATAAAGAGGTCCAAAACTAATAAATCAGTTGGTACAATTTTTAAAAGGCCCACAATTTGAGAAAAAAAAAACAGGTTTTAAATCGAACCGATTTTTAATC